ACGGAGACTCGTTCATTTTTGAACGCCTGTTCAAATTTGAATGCGTTCAGTATATTGACAAGCTCCCTTACAGGCATTGGTGAATGTACAAACAGAATTATTTCAACACTATACAATTTAATATGTTTGATTATGAGGAATGCATGCAAATAATTTTCATCAATGCAGAATCCCTCAAGATTTTTTTAATGCCCAGGTCCATGTTAATGGCCTCTATCCCTCAGCTTGTTCAACAGTTTTTCTATGGGGGTGTAGATCACGATACTGAAGGCCAAGGAAAAACCTGGCTTCTGTGGTCTGTGAACGATTTATGTGCTGATGTCAATGTATGCCTTGGATCAATATCCTGCTCACCAATCCAGCCATAATATTTTATTAAATATCATCTGCAACTTGATGAGATCATGATACTACAATGTTGTTTACCTGTTCGAACAGCCTTTTGTAAAGAATGGCATTGTATTCCCCATGACACTGGTTTTGGGTTTTGTAGATCCACCACCATACTTCACAATAGAGATGAGGTTTCTTAATCAAAGGCCATCTTATTTCCGCATCAAATCATCGTCTGGTGTTCATAGCCAAAGAGGTCTATTTTGAGTTAATCTGACCACAGAGCTCAATCCCTTAGTGAGTGTCTATACTGTTTATCATATAGTAAGTGTACAAGTTTGTTTTTTGACAGCGACAGATGCTTTTTCCTAAAAACCTTCCGAAACATCTTTCGGTTGGGTATCATAGTTTTGGAGTCTTTCTAACCCCAAGGCATAATTCATATCTCCAAGTTTCTGACAGTGACACTGAATGTGTCCTTTACTACTTCAATAATCCACACAATAGTGACGATTTTTAACATTTCTTCATTGTAGCCCAGATAGTTAAAATAGGCATTTTGAGCTTTTTTGCCATTTTCTTACTGGCATTTCCACATTTGTGAAGCTGAACAACTTTCTGTCATACATTACTGCTAATCATTTGTCTTAACCATGATGATGGAAGTTGCCATGTGTGTAATCTTACATTTATATCTGATCCAATGATTGTGGCCAACATTTTTTTTGTGGAAAAAAAAATTAAAGTATTAGGACAACCGCTTGGTCCATTGTCGCTCTTTTAGTATTTACATGCAACTCAAGGTATTGGGATATTTAAAACAAATGCAACATCAGGGTATCCAAAAATTTGCCATGTTTCTTGTACCAATAATAGTTAAACATACTGCCTTTTTAGAGTTATTGGAGGCAAAATTAAAATAATTAATTAATTTCTTGAAAGAAAAAAAAAAACTGGTACATCCAACTGAGATATTGCCTTTGGATCTGACTGTATGAAACTATATAGGCCTGGGGCCGTATTCATGTCGGGAGTTTTACCTATTGGGCTGATAAAGCTTATCTTCCCGATAGCTAACGGACCACAAGTCCGCGGCGCCAAGCGGTATTCATGAACGTTAGTTACGCAGGCCACCAGTTGATGGCCTGTCTAATTTTGGAATATGAAGTGTTGATGAGGGGTGCATGCGCAGTGACACGGCTATCTACCTTTCTCGTTTTCGAAGCGGGGAGTTCGTGTTGTTCGTTGGTGTGTTGATGAGTGATTTGTTTGTCTCTTGGCAGGTTAAGCGAGTTTTTCGCTCTTATTGTACAATATCCCTTTCAAGCAAAAACAAAAAGCGCCAGAAAATGAGGAAAGCAGAGTTAGGGATCCCAATTGGCAGCATGGAGGGATGATTTTACTTCTCGAGGAAATTTGCGTTGAAAAAAAAAGACTGAGAACTAGCTAGGACTAATTGTTATAAAATAATGTATCTTTGCTCCCAAATTTTCAGTTCTGGCGCTGGCCCAAATAGATGGAACTAGAATATATAAATAGGACATCTAACGAATTAAAGCATCACTGTATTGATGTGAAGACTGATGTTAAGATGTGCCATGTATACCATATCCGAAAAAATAGCGACTATCGGCATTAAAGAACCTACAAAACCATAGCGTCATGATTTATGGTCTTAGACTGCCATCTATTGGAATTAAAGTGTAACGACATGTACCGTTGTATATTTTGGATGCACGAAATATCAAAGACTGAGCAGCGGATAGTCACAATTTTTCACTTGAAGGAAGTAAAAAAACTGAAAATAAAAAGCAGCCAGTACAGAAAATATTACTATTATCTCCATCTGAGAACAATTGATTGAAGGTTCCGGAAAGATGAAACAAAAACTGCTTTATCTGCGGAACAAAACTAAATTGGTTTCTTGTATCTTTATCTCATTGTTTTCTACTAACGCACTGACGGAGGGCATATCACGGACTACTGGGCTGTCGGAAAAGCGGCCACTCCCCAGTAGAAGTAGTGATGCTCATGAGGCTTACGCTACGTAGCTAATGGTAAAAACACTTCATAATCAAACTTCAAGTCAAAAACAGCTATTTATAGCAGGCTGGAGCTTGTTTTACCCAAACACCATCCCATTCACCAGCATCACACTTTAAACCAAAACTATTTTCATTCGGAAAAAAATGGTTACAGGTCAGGTAAATTTGGTCAGTTAGCTAAGATAGTAGGATCATCTGTCTTGTTCTTCTTGATTACAGACTAAATTACAATGGTAATCCAGTAATCCCCCTGTTTTACAGAATGTAACTGTAAATTAATGACATCTTTTTGTGTGTAACCCCAAGGGAATACAGTTACATTTTTTGGTAGGCCTATCCTAATTACGTATCGCCGTTAGATGTATTCCGTTACTCCCCAAGCCTGTTGCTCGCATAACAAACAAGAAAAAAGAAGACGTTTGGGAAACTATAGCTGAAAAAATCACGTCGTCTTTCGGTGTGACAAGAAGAACTGCCGTAAATGCTGTCTATCAGCCCGAATTCGGTGCTCTAAGTTGTCTGCCTATAGGCTCGGCAGATAAGGCCAAACAGCCGTTCATGAATTGCACCAATAGGGCCGTCATGATCTGTCGTCCCGATAGGCGGGAAACGTCCCGACATGAATGCGGCCCCTGGGGTGCACATAACCTTATAGCAAAATGAGATGCAATCTGCATGCTGAACTAAAGACCGACTATTACTCTCTGAGAGAAAAAAATTGAACTCATTTCCATCCTCCAGGCTGTGATGTCACATTCTGTGAGGGAAGTGCATGTGTTTGCTTCAGCTTCTGCCAGTACCACTTCAGTAAGTAGCACACTCGGTGGAACTGAAGAGGTTAAAATCAGGAATAAAACTTCATTAAACATATCTGTCATCAATTCATATACGTACTTTTTTTTATTGAATGTGCCAATAATTCAAGGACGAAGCCATAACAAAGAGCAGCAGAGCAGGATTTCAGTTCCAGCTCTTGGTAATTGGTTGCACCCAGATCTCCTTGCCTTGCCAGGGAAAGACAAAAGGGGCACAATGTAGAACAAACGTCTCCTTACTCACCTGCTATATTCAGGTAGATGGACGGACTTGTTTTGTTCTCCCCATTCTTTTCATTAACTGCTTGAACGTAGTACCTCCCAGCATCGGCTGCAGATGTCGACAGCACCACCAGCTGATTGTCCAATGTTATGGCACTGTGGGCGTTGACAGACAGGGAAGATATCATAGTTGAGTACACTGGCTAATGGAACCAGCAATAAATCTTCAATGACATATAAACACTGCAGAGCACATCTGTGGCACTGCAGAAGCTGGGAATTCTTGAGTTACAGCAATATGAGTGAATTGGGCTTTGTGATGTTAAAAGTGGTTGCAGATTAGATTCCCAGAGTGGGCACTGACATTGAAGGGGTGAGCACTTAAGCAACCTTGAATTTCTTCATCAAATATATCCAGCCATGTAAGTGGATTATACTCAAAAACAATGACTGTAATCAGCTAGAGTTTCAGCTAAATGAAAGTGTAATATTTCAATCACCAAAGGCACCCTGAAACTGAACTGGAGTGCATTTGTGGTTTTAACTGCTACTTGATGCAGTAGTGCAACTTCAGGCATTGCACTTGATGAGTTCCTCCAAGGCCTGGTAAATGTGTGGTATTTTCCCTCAATTTTACAGGGACAGAAAATCAAACAACATATTGATTCAGAAATGACAGCATTTGTGTAATTCAAAGGCTCAGGTTGTGTTTTTTTTTTTTTATAATTAGCAGAAAAGGGAAACTATCAATGGACGGAAATAAGCAAAGTTTTTTTTATTCGTGTATCAATAATATTGGATCATTTTTGACCAAATTTTTGACTTCAGTCCAAGTCATTTTTCTGTATTCTGAAGTCAAGAATTTCTGTAAGTATGATGCATGATGAATCAGGACATTCCCATCTGTTTGTTGCCCTTGTCAGAAATGAAAGCAGAGACACAATCCCCCTGAAATGATTCATTACAGGCGTAAGTGACAAACCATTTGGCGGGATTTTTCCGGTTTATGTCAGAAAAAGAACGACTTTTCAAAACTATTAAATTGCCTTATGAAAACCCGCAAGAATGCGCCTTTCAGGGATTTCCATTATTTTTTTCCCCTCAGATTTGTGGCGCAACCAGCATTTAATAGGAACAGTTGATTTCAGCTCTGAGGTTCTTTGTGTTTTCATGAGTTTACTCTGGGTACTCTTGTCTCCTCGTCCTATGCTGCATTGAATGATACATTTTCCCAGGGATGCCCATGTCACAGTCTGCTCTGCTGCTGCCCTCTCTCCCTTTGCTTGGCCACACCCCTTGTACTGCAGTTGTTCTCAGCTGAGTCTCGTTACCCAGCCAGCATATAAGCAGCTCTGTTTCACTAACTCATTGCCAGATTGTCATTGCAGCATGCACTACTCTCCAGCCTTTGTCTTTGGTCTGACTTCCTGGAATCGACTCTGCCTTCCTCTGACTACGTTCTCTCGTTCCTGCCCTGGTAAACCTGATAACCTTCTGCCTCTGTGCTTCCTGGTTCCTGTCTGCCGTCTTCCAAGCCACCCGTCTTGCCGCTCCACTGCCTGCCTGCGAAAACACTATCCTGTCTGCCCCGGTGGCCAAGTGGTAATTCTCCGCCTGTCGTGTGGAGGACCCGGGTTCGAATCCTGCCATCGGCGCCGAGTCTCTGGCTGAGCTCCACTCACAATCCATGAGTTCCTGATCCTGATCTGCACCAAGCTACCCTGCTCTGCATTCTGTTTACCCCTGCTCTGAGATCAGTAAAAACCAGTAAAACTTTACTCGTGTTCATTGTGTTGCATTTGGGTCCCGCCACTCCCCGTGACTGCCCATGCATAGATCACTTATACAATGCAAAACCATTTTCTGTGTATATTAAAAAGGCATGACTATGTTAGAAGATGGCAAGGGTAGTGGACTGGCCTGCCAGTGTATCGTATGTTTTTGCAAAAAAAGGGGATTATCTTTTAAATTTGTTCATCTGGTTGATTTAGTCAGTACGGGGCTACTACTTTTTCTCATATATATATATATATATATATCACACATTACACACACACACTAGACACAACACTCACAAGTTACTGTCATAGCAGCAAGCTATAGCTAAAATAGCCCAAGGTATGCCAATTAATAATGAAAAAACAGCTTTCTGAGGCAAAATTTCAAAATAGTTTTGAAACTACATAATTCTACTGTCCATTATTGCTATCAGAATAAAAAATATATATATTACCCTACCATCGATTTTTTGTAAAGATACGTCATTCGCTGGATTCCGTAGTCAGTTATTGCCTCAAACAGTTTCTCCGAGTAATACTGCCTGCTCAGTTACTGCTGACATTGTGCTGCAAAAAGCACAGCTGTTGGCCACACCCACATTACTCTCCTGGTCATTGTCCGTTGATTGCCAAGTGTTTTATCCAAGAGAGGACAGGATTATCTTTCCAAATATGATTGAAAAAAATTCACTGGGCCTCAAGAAAAAGTATATAAAATCTTGCGTAACAGCAAGGTAGGTCACATCTCAACTTTGCGCATACACAACCTAAGGGTGTTCATGTTACTTTTACCAGATGGAGAAGCCATATAGCCATGTTATGGACATGGACACTGGGAGGGACTCCAGAGGGCACACACAATGGGGGAGACTGTCTCCTCAGTGTGTAAATGTTGTTGTTTGCAATATTTCATTTATTTCACTAGCAACAAAGTCTTTCAGTTTTTCACCATTGCTATGATTTTGATACTGTTATAGCTAGTCACATTGGTTATTATCACTGACCGTTAGCCTTTGTTAATAGTACTGAATATAGCGGCACATCGCTCTATGCCACAAATCTGTTTTAGAATCTATTCCACATTCAACGAAATAAAAAGCTTGTCAATACGTTCACACTGTTTTATTATGCGGATGCTCCATAATATTTTTATGTACATTTTTGTACATTTAAAGTATATTGCAGACTCTACTATGTCAGTGAGTTAAACCTGCTCCTTATAGGGCATGGAAAGAGTTTATACAAGCTTGCTGTTTGCTTGTGTGCCAGGTGAATATCAGCAGAGCAGCTAAATGGGGCCAAGTCATGGGCTTGAGATCCTCTATCGTACGTGAAAAGGCCACTGAGGGAAGGAGGAGTTGCATGCTTTGCCGCAGCAGGAAAATGCTGAAAAGGTAGTTGCACAAGTGTCATTCTTGTAATGTCCCTCTCCGAAGTTTGGCAGATTGCATCTGTTTGACCGAGTGGCATGACTTGACCAAGTGGCAGTGGAGTTGAGCAGGCAGGACTGACGACACAGCCTGGTGTTCTTAGTAAAAGGTTTTCACTTCTTTCCTCATTTTGCATGCCCCGCAAAAGTCCAACCCCTCGTTCACATCATAAGGTATGGTAACAGCACATGGTTTCCTTGCTGGGCAAACATTTTGACGAATAAACACAGTAGAATAAACAAATTTTCTTAAAATGAGCATGTTTGCCGGCTGATTGGCCTCTTTTTGGGGGGTTTTGGAGACCATTGATGTCCATCTCCACCAACACTGATGGACTCTAGCTAATTCCCTCATGAAAATAATTCAGTCATATGGTGCATGAATCAAAACAGTTGATATGTGGGAAAATTAGGGCTGGGCAATATATTGATATTATATCAATATCATGAAGCAAAGTAAAATATCGTCACTAATTCTGGATATCGTAATATCGTGATATGAGACAAGAGTTGGCTTTTCTGGTTTTAAAAGCTGCATTACAGTAAAGGGTTACATTTTTCTGCTCAATCTAGACTGTTGTAGCTGTTGACTGCATTTGCTTGGTCGTCATTTCAACATTACTAATAAATGGTTATCAAAAATACCATTGTGTAAATATTTTGTGAAAGCACCAACATCTGTCTAGATAACATCGGCAAAATATCGATATCAAAGTATTTGGACAAAAAAATTGAGATATTAGATTTTGTCCATGTCACCCAGCCCAAGGTAAAATATGATCATTTTATAAATAGATTGCCATTTGGAAAAGCATTTTGAGAGCACTCTTAATTGGCTTCACGGACAGTTGGTAATTTTGAATCTCACTCAGATGCAATACACTTGTGGGTCAAGGAATTTATGATCCAGGAAATGTATTGTTTTACCTCTGAGCTATATTTCAACTCTCAGTATTTTTTTAAAGAACTTCAGAGTTGAATTAACATGAAGATTCTTTGTGTTTGTATCCTTTATTTGGTAATAAAATCTGAAAATAAACTGAAATAAGATGGAATTCGAAGTGCTACAAGTGTCTTCTTTCATTTATATTATTTTCCCACACTCTGTGATGCTCAAATCTTGCATGATAAAGCCTTATATAGGGGAAAGCATAAATTGCCTGATTTGGCTTCTGCGCAAAGGGGTTAATTTGCCAGAAATTTAATGCATTGTGTCACAACCCTCATATGATTCCCTTGTGTCCCTTTGCAGTTCAGCAGCTTGTGTGTCTATTGAGCGTGTTCGCTGTGATTGGTTTGCGTCCCGTGCGTCTCTCCCCCTCAGTGGTATCTCTTTATGTGGTTGTCCGCTTTACAACGGCATGACGAGTATTTAAGCTCTCTGGGTCATGTGCAAGTTGCTGGATTATAAACTCGCTTTCGTGCAAATTATCTTTGTCAATGTTCAGTTTAAAACTCATTCATTGTCATCTAATGCAAAAAGAGCTTTAGTGATAGCCTTTTCCCTAGGAATCATACTGAATTGTTTAGTTGATTTAAACAAGCTTCTAATCCTAATCAGGGTTCAGGACTGGGACTGAGTTCAAGTTAATTCAAGTCTGTTCCTGTTTTTCTACTCAAGTTATTGAGAACAACCTTCCAATCTTAATCAGTGTCCAAGACTGTGATCTCGTTCTTGCTAACCCATCCAGTTTGCTCTCTTTGTCCAGTTTGTTAGGAACAAGCTTCCAATCCTGAACTGGATCCAGGACTGAGACCGCACTCCGCTCAAGCGTGCTGTCCATCCTCTGAAGCAGTTCAGTGCTGGCAGAGCCTGTGTAACACCCAGCAGCGTCCCCGAAGCCTGGCCGGCGATTGCAGCTCAAGCGTAGCCTATGACAACTGTGCCGACTTGCCCGTCCTCCTCAGGGTTCTGTCACCGCTATCCTATCTTGGGGTTCTGTCTCCAATCTCTACCGTACTGCTGTCAACAATTTACCAGTCGGATCATGCTTCTGACTCTGCGCTTGATTCCTGGCCTGGACCGTAACAGCATTGTGCATCCAAAATAGTGCAAAGCACAGTGAAATAGTCGCCAAAAGGCCGTAATTTACGTCGCAATATTTTGCGCTATTGGACGTGGTTTCAACGCCTTCAACGCACATGCCCCCAATGTTTCAGAACAGAGAATACTGCTTATTCTTTTCTGCAATATTCAAAAGTTAATTATATACTTTGCGATTTTTTTAATCATTGAAATTTGGCAGGGATATTTTCTGAGGTGTGCCAAACTCACAGAACAGAACAGATATTTATTCCTGCTTAATACGGACATTAATAACACTAATTAGAGTTGAATACTCCCAAAAGGTTGAAAGCAGACTTTGAAAGGAAAGAGGGCTGAAAATTCAAGACAGCCGCATACAAGCCTGAGATGCCAAATCTAACCTAAGTCTAAAACTTTGATAGACTAACTTCAGTTTAGTGAAGAAGGGTGCTCAGATGTCTTACTAGGGCAAGGAGCAAACATGTAAATTGTGATAGTAGTTTTGCTTGGAAAGATGGCTTCAAATTATTTGTTCTGGTGGGAGGAAGATTAGCCTTGGATAGGTGTGACAGGTCAAACATTATTGCATGCAAGGAATAATTATTTGTGCAGTGGGGCAATTCCATCTTTACGGATGCGACAGTTGGAAACAAAATCGCAAGACGAACACCTTGGAAAATTATTCTTCTGATATTATAAAAAGTATTACTGCATATTCTCATAGCACCCAATTGGGCAAGTGGAAAGGTGTAGAAAATAATTACAAAAATACTGTTCAGTGAAAAAAAAAAATATATATATATATATATATATATATATATCCTGTGTTATTGTGGAAGTATATCCTGTGTTATTGTGGAAATAAAAAGACAGACATTTTGGGAGACAACTTTCCAAGAATTCTGCAAAAGTCTGATGCAGACAATTTGATATCCTCATAATGTAATGGGCTTGGCTGAACATTAAAATAGCAATTTTGAACGTATTTGTAATACAATTTATTTTCATTTTAATGTGAAAAAAGCAGCACTATGGATTTGACACTTCTGTGTTAAGGGACTTTATTCATTTATTTTTGCTTATTACCGTTTTCATCCAATTTTGTAGCAGAAAGAACTTGTAAGTTCCTTTTTACAATGAAATGTACACTCCAATGTACAATGAAACTTGTACAATAAAATGTACAAGTATAAAACCTAAGGATACAGGTAAAAATATTAATCATATTTGAGGAGTAAATAACTTAACCTTTCATTTACAGGTTGACATCACTACGGATTTGCCCATTACTCTTTTTATCATCTTTACTTAGTGCCATTAAAAATGCAATGGTGAGGTTTGTACTCTATTTGCGGCAAATTGAAGAATCAAATGATTTTTTCTACTTTTTCGGTGAGATACAAGTGGAAATAAAGAAAATTG